TTTGTCAGGAAAGCACAAAATTGAGGAAAATGAAAATATTAAACTATCTACCACATAGTTGTGTATGTACAAAGCCGTTATTATTTTTTAATGATTTCTAACTTCAGCAATTTAATAGATCAACCTAATGGCTATTCTAAGACATAGTCTAAGACTTATTTGTAAAGATATTATTTGTAATTATGTAAGAATGTGATTTTTGAAACAACCTAAATGTTAAGAAATAAAATGATTAAATAAACTATTGTATAATTACATGGTGGAAAATAATGCAAACATGTAAATTATATCTTTGAAGAATTACTTAAAGCATGCTAAAATACTGTGTATACTACTTTATGCAAATTTTTAAAACACACCTTTATTTATAGGTAAAAATAAATAAATACAAGTAAATACACCAAGAATTTAACAGTATTATCTCTGAAAGTTAGGATTATGGGTGATACTAATTTTTCCTTTTTTTGTATTTTTCAAATTTTCTATAATAAGCTCATATTACTTTTAAAATTAGGAAATAATCTTATCACCAAAGAAAAGGAAAAGAAAATCCAAGAAAGGCAGAGACACCCAATTCAAAGACAGACAAATATACTTGGATTCTACTAAATTTTACTTTTTATCATAAAGGAATTTAATTTTTAAAAATTCAGATTCAAGTATTTCAGCATTCTAAGATGAAAAGAAAAGCAACCTTGCTATTTTATTCAAATAACACTAACCTAGTTATTCAAAGAAGACCGTTATCTGTCTTAATTTGAAATCTCCAGTAAATAAGAATTCACCACATCCCATTCTAGTTCTTTAATAAAAATTTTGCCTGCCAACAAATTTACTTCTAATCTACAATTGCAAATCGTTCTCTCCTGTCCAAGTCCTAAACAAGTCAGAGAAGAGTTTATAAGATAGTTCTTTGTCATTTTGCACTTTTAGAAGTGGCTTAACTAAAATACTGTTTCAAGTCCTGCCAGCATTAAGAGCTATGGATGTATCAGTCCCTAATATCAGAACGCACCGAGCTCTCCTTACCCCCCAAATTTTTCCTCCTAGATGTGCCAGAGTCCTGTCTGCTCAGCACTATGATGCATATCTACAGCCTGGCTATGTCAGGTTATTATCATCCAGTCTCTTAACTTCCCCAGTTCAGGGGATGGCAAATAGAAATTGTGATTACAACTTAATACTCATAGGAAGACACAACTTAATACTCATAGGAAGACACAACAAAAAGTTACTTGGGGCGAACATAATAATAAGACAATACTTTCTTGAACTTCAAGTTTTAGTGCCTAAGGCAGCCTAGAGGGGTTTCCACACACTCTGCAGGATCTAGGTAAGGTAGTCTGCAGTTATCAGGAACATGAAAAATAAATGAACTCAGTAACTGAGTCCCCTTTACTCCAGGTGTTCGCACTTTACATGAACACCTGTAGTAAAGGGGAAAAAAAGTAAGATTCTGTTGAAGAGTCAGTCACAATTTATCATAGTTATTTGAGCAACAGCTCTGGACCAAATCTTGCTTCCTAGTGAAAGATCCTACTTTACTGCTAGCCCTTTTGATATCACCTAGACTAATTAAGCTCATTCACATAAATAAAAGCTACAGAAAAATTGAATAATCTAAATTATAAAAATTACGTGTCCTGGCCAGACATGGTGGCTCATGCCTGTAATCCCAGCACTCTGCGAGGCCGAGGTGGGAGGATTGCTTGAGCCCAAGGGTTCAAGATAAGCGTGGGCACCATAGCAAGCTCCATCTCTTAAAAAAATTATGTATCTAATCACTACTTGAAATTACATTATATACTTATATATTTACTTTGTTTGTTGTCTGTTTTTATCACTAGAATGTAAACTCTGAGACGGCAAGAATTTTTGTCTGCCTAATTCATCAGTTTAACTTCAGCATTTGGAACCGTGTCTCAAATGTGATACTGTCTACTAAGTAGAAATGCAATAAACAGTGAATGAATGAATAGTTTTTCTGCACAAATGGAACACTATATAGCTATTAAAAATAGTATGCAGATCAACGGTCATGCAAAGTCCTCCACATTCAGCACTGTAACAGTAAGAGCCCTATAACTTACTAAGTTCATTTATTTTTCATGTTCCTGATAACTGCAAACTACCTTACCTAGATCCTGCAGAGTATGTGGAAAGAGATGGAAAGAAGGATGTTGCAATTAAGCATTTATCATTTCCTTGGTAACTCTTAGAAACAAAAAGAGGAGCTAGGGAAGCAGGAAATTACAAATGCCAGTATATTAGCCATCAGGAAGACACTGGAATTTCTGGTGCAAGGGGCCTGTAAATCCACATGCATATCAAGCATTATCTGCATTTGGAATTTTAAAATACACTATGTAGGTATCGTCCTTCATTTTGTTCAATTATTGTGTTACTGTTTCCTTAAATTCCTTAATATTTGATCATTATATATTTTCTTAATAAATGTTAGTCAAAATTCAACTGCAATCTTTTGGGGACATCTGGAAAAAAATGTCAAACTATAAAATATTAGGAAACACTATTAAAGACAAGCAATAATCACTTTTGGAATAGTGCCTACTTAGGTCTGAGATGACAGAATTTGGCTTTAAAAGAAGGGTGGAAATGAGAATTCCATGCAATTAGATAAGAATATAACAAAAAGTATGGGAGTGGGAAGCCCAAGACAAAATCAGTGGCAGGGTAGACCAGTTTTTGTTGAATGTTAACCCCTAAGCTGGACCCTGGCAAGCAGATTTGCCTTTTTACCCCAAAGTTAGACTCTGCCTAAAGAAGAGGAAAAGACCAGAGCCACGACACCATGGCAATATTGCTCCAATAGAAAAAAAAAAAAAGCCTGAAGTTTAACCTGAGTTCTGGCAGGTACTATGTTGGTAATAGTTTTCCCACAAATCTTGGTGGTTGTTGTTTTTTTAAGTTTATTTCTAGCCCTGAAAGAACAAAATTATTGAAAAAAGTCGTAACATACAGCAGTTAATGTCAGTGTATAACAACTAAATAACTGAATGGGATTAAAAAAAAATAAACAGCATTATAAAATTTGAAGACTACAGAAAAGACTACTTTCACTTAATTCCATTTCTATCAAAACAAGGGGGGGAAAAAGTCAATGTGTTCCAACCAAAGATGTTGAATTCCAAACATAACCTGTTTCTCTTAGTAAAGAATGAAAGTATGCTTGACAGTATTATACATTTCTTTCTGCCTCTGTCTTGGCAGCATTTTAGAAGAGTGAATGAGAAAGACTTCAGTTCTTTCAAGGCCAGGCCAGTGCTTGCTTCTTCCTTGTAACTCCAACTTCATCTACCACAGCATCTTTGCCAGAGTGTTCAATAAATTTTATTTCCATTATTTTATTCCTACTACATCTATGTTAAGATTCAATTATAAGAAGAGAAGTGAATGTTTTTTATTGATAAGGCAGGAAGGTTTTCAGAAAAATGAGCAAAATAATTAATGAAACATATTTAGAGAACTTAATGGTCTCTGTTTTCAATGTAATTCTTGATTTCATTTTTCTCTGAACTATATTGGCCTTCTAAAGCTATTACTGAATTACAGAAACTGGTTTATTTTTGGTAGAAAACTGTAGTGCCACTTGAGTTCCAGATTTTAACATTCTTTGTAAACAGTTGGATGGATTATGATAAAGAAGATTCTTGGTTGTTTTCGAACCACTCAGTCAGATATAGTCGAGTGAACACATAAAACACAAACAAATTAGTGAACCAATTATAGTTTCACAGTGATCATATGGAGCCTGGGTAATAGCTGTTAAAAGGCAAATAGTGCAGTGAGTAGATCATTTAAATACAGATAAAATATTGGAATTAGTGAGTTATGGGATTCAATCCAAATTATTCCAGGACTGGAGTCTTATTGATCAAATATAATGAAATCATGAGCCATCTGCCAGGACTTTTAAAACCTTTTTGCTAACGATTGACTTTTAATCATAGATTTTTTTTTTTTTTTTTTAGACGGAGTCTCGCCCTGTCACCCAGGCTGGAGTACAATGGCACAATCTTGGCTCACTGCAACCTCTGCCTCCCAGATTCAAGCAATTCTCCTGCCTCAGTCTCCCAAGTAGCTGGGATTACAGGCGCGCACCACCACACCGGCTACATTTTTTTTGTATCTTTAGTAGAGACAGGGTTTCACCATGTTGGCCAAGCTGGTCTCGAACTCCTGACCTCGTGATCTGCCCACCTCGGCCTCCCAAAGTGCTGGGATTACAGGTGTGAGCCATCTCACCTGGGCTTAATTATAGTTTTATTTCAACAGATTCAAAAATCTAACTTAGTTGGAATGTAGACAAAAAAGGAAAAAAAAAATGAAATGAGAACACAAAGAGTATTTTTAAATAGTTAATTTTTTTTTTAGCATTTGTGTATCTTTTATAAAGACAATGGTGAATTAATATGAAACATAAAAAAGTTGCCTGGCAGAGTTGTTGTAATACCACTATTCATGTTCATAACAATATTTTTTAAAAATAACTATTCAAAAAGTACCTTTGAAAAGTACCTTCAGTAGAAACTATACATAAGATGACAGAAGAAATCTGTCTTTGCTCCCATGAAATTGACTTTATTAAGCTAATTAGTTGTCTGAGAGTTGGCTATTATAGTAGTACTATAGCTTGTAGCCATGTGTAAAGGTAATCTAATTTTTTAAAAAAATCAGTTCTATGCCAGTCAAATCCCATGCAAATCATACATGTGTGAACTGCATTCAGTCTTCTGGGGCCATCAATTTGTTGCCCCTTCTCAGCATGACACAGTCAATATCCCCCTCATTACTACAGTAAACTTAAATACGTTGTGCACCTTTGACATCTCATGAATCCTAAACATTCTCCTCACACTATTAGAAATGTGAGGCTAGGAATTTATAAAATTCTCCCTATTCCCTATTATCTGGCTGTGAGTCTCAGGCCTGTTGCTGATAACAAAACTCCAGCTTCTGCAGAGACTCATTAGCATCATTCAGGCACCATCCTCAACACCAGTTGGCAGGGCAGCATCACCAGTAACAAGCTCCTGGAACACAGCCAGCCCCTCAGCAACCAAGCTCAAGTTGGCTGCATCCCAGCTCTATGGGGTGGTGGAACATGTCAGCATGAAGGAGAGCAGCAGGGTAACCAAACACTCTGAATCATGAGCTGAAGAGAAGTGACCAGGGCTAAAAAAAAATCTATAGAGATTAGCCAAAGAAGAACTTCAAGCCACAGCTGCTAATACATTGGCTGTTGGAAAGTACCTGCAATAAACATATCATACTTTATGGAACACTGCAATATGAAATGACACTTTTAGGGCAGAGGTATAGGAACCTGGGAAGGCAGATAAGAGCCCTTGCTCATTTTCATTTCCCAGGTTCATGCTAGCGCACCCACACATCTTAATAGATCACAAATGTTTGCTCCTATCCAGGTCTCATTATTTTATTCTCCAAAATAATACCTTCCTTCACTCACCCAGGAATAACAAAGTAATGACTTAATTGAATGCAAAGAGTCTAGTCATACCACCTAATTCAACTAGTTTATACATATTCCTGAAAAATAGGAACATTTGTTTGAAATCCACAAAGTGAACCAGAAAATTCCAATCATCTCTTCTGCATGGTCTGCCTTTGTGTGTACTTTCAACATGAATTATCAAACTAGTAATTTGTCAGTATGGAACTTAAATTATGAATATGTGAATACAGTAGGCTATATTTCATACAAACTCTCACCACTGCTGATAAATTATTGCTAATTATCCAAGAACTTTAAAGAGCATGAGGATTTTAAAGTCATTAAAAGGGAAGCTTTCAGGCAGAGGCTGGATGACTATCTGTCAGGTAAAGTTTCCTGCACTGGATGAGGGAAAAGGTGGCAGGGAATGGACCTGGTGATTTTTCCAGTCTCTTCTACTACAGGGTATATGTATTACATGATGTAGCACAGCCACTGAATTATAGGTATAGAATTTTCAAGAAACACAATATGGTGGTCCTATGCACAATTATGTTAGGTACATAAATAGCCCAGAAATGAGTATGCCACATTTAATTTTTAATTTATCTCAGTCAAATGATTTACTGATTTCCATATTACAAAATGTTTTGAAATTATACAGAACATAACTTATGGTCTCTAGATGCTGACATTTTAAGATATCAGGACATACAAATCATATTATGCTAATGTGCAACAAATTTACCACTACCCATGTGAATGATGACATGGCAGTTATGTGTATAAAGTAAAATTACGAAGAGGGTTCAAATTACTTTAGTCTGGCTTTGAAATATATGGTGAACTTTCATGAGGCTCATTTATTGATAATAAGTGCTACCCTAAGCACTTTACGTCTATTATCTATTTTACTCCGCACAAAAACCCTGTGATGGAGGTTCTGAGGCTAGAGAGATGCAGCCACTTGCTGAAGGTCACTCAGTTAATAAGCAGCAGAGCAAAGATGTGAACCTGCCTTGGTGACTTTCTGACTCCAGACCCTCTCATCTAACACTCATGACATGGCTTCCTTTTTGCTTCCTTGTTTTCTTACTTGTAGGCAACATTAAAATTACTTTGGTTGCTGCAGTTTATGCTATTGAACATGGGAGAAGGTTTTCTGAAGTCTGCTTGACTGACCAAGGAAAACTAATTTGAGTTTTAAAATGTGAAGTGAATGAAGTTGGCAGAGCTCTGAGAAATTAGGTACGCATACTGCTACCACTGTAAATGGGCTCAATATTTCAAAAAGCTATCTATAACATGGAATGAGAGCTATAAAACTTTTCTTGCCCTTTGACTCAGTAATTTCAGTCTTTGGAATATACCCTCAAGGAAATAACACAAAAGAAAAAAGTAATTTGTTCAAGATGTTCATTCAGGGGCTATTTGTATTAGTGAAATACAGGGGGGAAAAAATCCAAATTCTCACTAATAGGACAGTGACTAAGCAAACGAGGCTCTGTAGAAAAAGAAAATAAGAAAATTTTATGATCTCCCAAAATGACAAATGTAGAATATATCCGTATGTGGACACATATGTAAGAAATACCTGGGTTAAAACATAGAATGCAAATTACTACATATAAGCATAACCTTGTACAACCAAGTAAAACAGTATCTGCATTAATAAGGCAAGAGATTCATGAACTTATAAAGAAATATATCCCCCTTTTAATTGGAGAAATCCCAACATGGGAGGAGCATCTGGCGTATAGATTGCGTTTAATAAAAATTTGTCTTTAAATGAGAAAAACAGAGGTTATTTATTCAGATCGTGCTATAACAAGGAAGACAGCCACCATTGCTTGCATTTGGAACACTCAAAGGGGAGTGCACAAGTTTTATGGTGAAAAAAATAGAAGACTTTAGGTATGTTCTGAGTGGAGGTTGTTGGCATGGGAAAGCTGAAGGCAGGTAACCAGAAGCACGACATTTTAGGTAATGAGTTCAGAGAATATATTTGGCTTTTCTCTCAGTGGCTCTGAGTTGTAAGTATGCAGGGGTGGAGGGCATGATGAGAGCAAAAAAATAGGGAAGGTGGCAGTCATTGACCAAATCCTGGCTGTGCTAGGCTGATTGCTACAGAGACTGTGATTTGGCCTTCTAAGCTGCTTGCTGAAGAGAATGTGGGTCTATCGTTATGCGTGGACTGGTCATTGTCCATTTGTATATCCAATATCTCATACAGAATACCAGTTTATTGTAAAAGGTTGTAACTCAGAAACAACCAGATGAAGAGATACATAGGGCGAGGTATAGGGGAAGAGGTGCAGAGCTTCTGATCCTTCTCTGGGTGTGCCACCCTCCCAGCACCACCCTTCAGCAACCTGGGAGGTCCACTTAATATGAATGTATAGACTTAAATTAGACAAAGGTAATTTTTAAACTGAGACCTGACTGAGATACACGTGATACCTCACATATATTCATGTGCTGTCAGGAAAAGCTAAACAATCGCTCATGAGAACTACTAAGTCCTAAGTTTTCTTCCAAGTGCTTTCCCCGGATTCTCTCATTTAATCTCCCTACAGCCCGGTGAGATAAGTGTTACTATCACCCCTCTTCCAAGAGGAGAATATTGTGGCCCAGGGAAGGCAAGTAACTTGCCCAAGGTTACTCAGGCCATGGCAGAGATGTAATTTCAACCCAAACAGACTCACCGTATGGCCAGTACAGCCATTATACTTTGCTGTCTTCCCTTATTTGGAAGAAATACTTTCCCGTGAATCACTTCTAGATTTGGTCTTCTGCTTTTCTCCTTCACCTTTTCTGTTTGGTTTACAATATATAGGATCCTTTCAGGAAATAACAATAACCATATCCAGACGTTGTTGAGATAAAATACTCTCCAGCCGGTGCCACCTGCATGAACACAATCTACCTGCACGAACTCGCAGGACTTCTTACAAGAAGCAAAACTAGAGTAGGGTTTTCAAGTCAGGTGTGGGAATTGTAGAGACTGGAAGATAAAATGCCACTGTGGCACAAGGGATAACTACAGAAGAGAAAAACATATCATTTCAAGCCAGAAAATACTCAGATAAGGTTGAATCTAAGAAAAAAGTTGCTTGGGGATAAGTGACAAATTAAGAAGAATATTTTAAAACTCACAGGGAAAATGTTAGTTTAATTATTTTAAAAAATTGTATTTTACACTTGCCTAGTTTCTTGAGTTTTGCAAAATATTTCTCATTGATGATCGTATTTAATTCTCTGGCTATAGAGTGGTGAATAGTATAGTTGACAGATGAGAAAACTTCAGGTCAGAGATAAGTGTGAGCTGTGTATCCAAGCAGCTGCCTGTCATTAGCTGAGCTGGGACTCAGTCCCAGGCTCTCATTCTTAATAGAACTAAACATTGATGCTGCTCAAGAAAGGTACAAAGTCCTGTGCAGATCTTCCCTTTAAATTATTCACAGGTCATGAAGCTCTATCTCACAGGTATAAGTCCATCAGGAAAAGTTCAGAAAACAAATCTAACATAAATGGAATCAAAGATAAGAACTAAATATATAATGAGTACCTTTTAAATTAATGCAGCAGAGCAAAGGCAGGACTACCATCTGTGTAAAAACTAAACTGTTCGGGGGATGGCATGGGTATGTAGTGGTTATGTTTGGAAAGACGCAAAACCCAAATCCTTCTATCTAAATCTGTATAAGAGGCACATCATCTCCGTACTCTGCCAACTATGATGGCACAAAATGAAATTTCTGCTTTATCTTACATTCCATGGAAATATCTTTATTGTGAATTAGGTGGCCTACATTTATGTTCACTTCTAAACAACGTCCTCTCCTTCTCATCTGATTCTGTCTGATGGAGGCCTATTTTTGCTTCAGAGGACAGATCAAATACTGCCTCTTCCAGGAAGCCTCTTCAGATCCAAGTGAGAACAAGCCTCTCTTTCCTAGGCACCCCCAGCCTGTCTGAGAACAACTTGCTGATGATTCTTGTCTCCTGCCTTGTGTAGCTCCTGGATGACATAACATGATTGGGATTTATCTTTGTGCCTCCTATGATCCCAATACAAGTGCCTCGTATGCCATAGCAGTTTACTTCATTGTAAGAAATCTTTTGCGGCCCTATCATGCTCTATGAATTCATAAACCTTTACAGAGAGTTGGGCCATCTCAATTCCACTATAAAAATGACCTAAATCAAGGACTCTCTTCACTTAAAAACCTTCTTGTTTCCTTACAATCATATTTCATGTTGACCTTCTGTGCCAGAACATTTGTATTAATTTAATGCATTTGTAATTAGCATTGGCAAATAACAAACCCACATCCAGAAGGTTAAATTATAAAGTGTTTTTTAATTAAATAGGAATATGAGAGTCATCAAACTTAAACAAACTAATTTGAGATTTGCTTTTATCACAAATTTTATAAATATTCAACCAGATTTTATTCAATATAAAGGTAGAAGCTTCAAAGCCAGAACCTCAGTTCTTTGAGGACTTTCTCTTTTAATATAAGCTGATAAATAAACTACTAGTGAAAGAACTTAAAATTTCAGAGCAAAAAGTACATTACTTCCACCAAGGTCAATTACTCTTCAGGGACAAAAGTAATGTTCTTTTTATTAGCAATTTGGAATAACAATTAAATAATATTCGTTTTCATTGGGATTTTTATATAAGAACTGAGAAAACAATTCTTCACTGTGGTTATAAAAATATAGGAGAAAGTGCTGAGTTTCTGAAACACAGCAATCTTCCTATATTTTCTATCTTCCCTTAGGCCATGTGTGGTGGTGTGATCCTTATCTTACTTATAAGGAAGATAAAGACCAGGGAACAACAACAATACTACCGAGGCTTATAATGAAAAGCAAGCTACAAAAAAGATGAAGTAATTATTTTCAATTTTACCACATTCTATGAAATATCGAAAAACTCTCATTTCATTTTGTATACCATGAGAAAAAGCTCTTTGATCCATGAATGGGCTAATCCAATAGCTATTCACATAATTCCTGTCTTTTAAAGGAGAATAGCAATCAATGACCAAGAAAGAAAGTACAATTCACAAAAGGTATGAAATCTTACTTTTTCATCATCTTCAGTAAATGGAGCTCCTTCAGGAATCTTATTTATCGCTTGGGCCACACCAATAATCTCACCATCACTGCTTCGGATAGGCATGCACAATAATGATTTTGTCTTGTATCCAGTTAGCTTGTCGATTTCATCATTGAATCGTCGATCCTAAAAATAAGACAAAGAAAGCATTAACTGCCTGTGCATTATTGTCAGGGAGAAGGAGAGAGAGGTTTATTTCTGCGTATGATACCTTATCACTGGGAACTTAGCCCCATGGATTTTTAATCACAATAACAGATTTGACTTCATTTTTAATTCACCAAAGGAATATAAATCAAAATAAGTCAACACCATAGTTGTTTGCCATAGTAAATGAAGACAGAGACTTTAAGCCCAACTGCAACGTATCAAAATTGGGGGAAAGTGTTTTTAAGGAAAGCCTATAGTATGCGATTTATGAAAATGTGTTATTTCAAAAAGACAGGATATGAAATGTCATATAAGAGACTTACATGAGAAATATATACTAAACACTGTGAAAAATTGTTCAAAATAGAACTACTTTATTTCTAGTCAAAATGATTCTGTGAAAAAAGAATCTATGAGTACATAATGATATTTCAAAATCCTCCCCAAAAGATATAGGGTATGGGGAGATAAAAATTTTCTCTATAGAATGCCAGCTAAAATATATAAAATAAATGATAAAATTAAATAGTATGTATTTTGCAACTACCAATATAATTATGTTTACAAGCAAGGGTCATTAAGTATGCTAATACCATTGGGTGAAAAACTGTTTAACTTAAACAGTATAGTCATACAGTCTCAAGGTGCCACACCCAAAGATTCCTTATTACAAAGGTAAAAGGTGTCTTTGTAGTGAATAAATCTGGTGAACACCACCTCAAACAAGTAAACTTAGCATCACTGTTAAGAAGAAAAGTTAACACCATGTGCCTCTTGATATAATGCAATAGGAAGGACACAACATCACCAAGAATACAATCAAATGTGTAACGTGAATCTAATTTTTCAGGAAATGAAAATTAAGAAAGGTAGAGATCATCAGTCATTCTATCAGAAACCTAACCCTGGATGCTTAAAAAATGTCAAGATCATGAGAGACAAAAAAAAGTTTTTTTAAAAAATAAATATAAAGTTAAACTATGGGAGCTATACTAGTTTAAAGAAGACTTAAGAGACCTGAAATCCAAATAAAATATGTGATCCTTTGCCAGAAATTCCGAAAATTGCACAAAGGACATTTTTGGAGGGATAATTGGAGAAAGTTCAGTCATATAATGGTATCATTATAAACTTGCTTAGGTATTATACAAGTGTTATAATTATGCAGGAGAATGTCCTTATTCTTAGGATATACATGCTAGAGTATTTGGTTAGTGAAATATCATAATACCTTCAACTAACTTTCAAGGAAGGAAGGAATGGATGGAAGGAGGGAGAGAAAGAAGGGAAGGAGAGAGATAAAGGAGGGTGGAAGGAAAAAAAGAAAAAGATTGGCTCCTGAGAAGGTAACTGTGACTAAAAATGCTCCAAGGTAGATGATAAACTATCATCCAATCTGATGATAAACTATTTCAAGCCAGGGGTTGGAGTGAGGCTTCTTCCTGTACCTTCTGCACACCCATGTTAAAAGAGGCTTAAAAGCACTGCTGCCTATGCTATGCTATTCTCGCTCTGTCACCCAGGCTGGAATGCAATCATTTGATCTCAGCTCACTGCAACCTCCACCTCCCAGGTTCAAGCGATTCTCCTGCCTCAGCCTCCCA